GGTCTAGCTGGATGCAACTCTACACACCCTTTCCATGATTGGATCAACAAGGCAGACATTGCAGCCAGTCTGCTATTCTTTAGTCCAGGGTGCGGTGGGTGTCTACCAATTGCAGGGTCCCATAAAGAGATCTATTTTTTCCCACCTATTCCAGTTCTTCACATCCTCCATACAAAACTAGAGATCTGCAGCAACTCAGCCGGTTTGTGTTGGCTCCTTGGAGTGGCATTCGCCCTCCTTTGAATGCTAGTCAGTTTCACAGCCAGACCTTCACTTTCTAGTTTTCACGGGGGTACATTGCCTTCATCCCATCTTTACCAAGGAACTTGTCCAATTTGTTTTACTATTTATTAATTAAAACAGTTATAACCTGTGCTTCCATTTAAAGAAAAAGTATGACATGGTGGCATGCAATGTGCAGAGTTATAATGAAACATCGGCAAATACTGGTTGGTTCAAAAGAGAAAATTCATATTGCGAAGGCCTGTCTCAATTAAGTTTCCCAAAGACATTTGAAAGAAGGGGCAGATTGTTTCTGCCAAACCTCTACTGTGATTTCTGCAGGACAGAGTCTCCTCAGTCGCTACTGAAGGCAAAATGGACCTTCAAGGGCATGAGGAACTACCAGAAGTACCGAGGGTCTTGACGATCAAGGTGGATGTTCCTTGCAATACATTGAGCTCAAGTTGTTTAGGTAGGGCTTTGTGAATTAACACAAGTACCTTGAAAATGGCCCAGTGGCATAATCAGCAAGAGGCACAGCAATCTCAGACCCTCCAAGTGTCCATATTTTCCAGGGACAGTCTTGGATTTACAGAAGCCATCCCATTTTCTGATTTGATCCCAGAATGTCCCACTTTCCCTTAGGACGTCCCTATTTTCATCGGAGAAATGTTGAAGGGTATGGAGATATGCGACCCCCCCAAGCCAAGGAGATAAGTAACTATACAACCTTTAGAAGACATCTGAAGGCAGCCTTATATAGGGAAGTTCTTTTGTTTTATTGTTTTTATATATGTTGAATGCCACCTAGAGTGGTTGGGGCAACCCAGGCAGATGGGTGGGGTATAAATAATAAAAGTGTTGTTGTTGTTGTTGTTGTTAGTATTAGTATTATTATTATATTTTAATCAGATAAATGTTGGAGGGTACGCCCAGGTATTAGGCAGTTTCCTATGAGTTGTGTCCAGCTATGTCCTACTCATAAGAGACTCACTGAAATGAATGAACCTAAGTTAGTCATGCCCATTAATTTCAATGGGTCTACTCTGAGTAGGACTAGAATGGTTTTCTATCTTTGTGGGCTCACTTATTCCATTTGGAGCGGGGGTATTCCGTTGTTGAAGAGTTAAAGGTGAAATCAAATCTCAAGTTCCTACTGTCAGCTTAGGTGGTGCTCAGCCATGAGTTGAGGAAAGAAGTCGGTTAAGATTTAGGGTGGTGGTGGTGGGGAAGTGTGTGTGTGTGTGTGTGTGTGTGTGTGTGTGTGTCAGGAAGGGTATGGGGGGTGGAGCACAGAGATTTCAGCCATTCCATGGAATACCTTTCCTAGCCCCAGGGCGACTGGAAGTAGTATATTAACCAAGCAACAGAGGGAAAGAGGGAAAAGGCCAAATCACATTTCTTTGAAACAAAGAGCCTCTTTTCTCCCCCCCACCCTCCCCCCACCCCAAGGAACATGCTCTGATCAAAATTACGGCGTCTTTGCTAGCCATTTCATCCCACCCAGCCCGAGGCAATATTAAAGCAATGAGGAAATAGGGGGATGCAGTAGGCCCTGAAGAGTCCCTGGAGCCTTTTGCATATAAATAATCCTTTTTAGAATAATGCACTAGTTTTAAACAGAGCCAGGTTCTCCGGGTACCTCCTAACAGTGGATGGCGAAGGTATCGTTATTGCTATTATTATTGCTAGCGTTAGGCATGTTATTTATCATTTTTATATATTTGAATATTTATGATCCACACTTTTGTAAAATGTACCAAGGTGGCTTACAAGACAACTTACAATTAAATCAATCAATTCATATATTTAAAACTTTTTTCTTTTACAAAATCAACAAAACAGCAAAAGGAAAATGTAGGGGGAAATGAGCAATTTACAAGCAAGAACAAAAAAAGTATTGTGTCTAAAAAGTAGGTTTTACGAGACATCTAAAAGAAGGCAGGGGTGGTTCCTGCCTAACAGAAGTTAGGCAGGGAGTTCCACAGATCAGGGCCCATCACACTAAAGGTTTGCTGCCTAGTGAAGGTCAACCAAACATTGGGTGAATGTCCTAACCTTGGTCACATACACCAGATGTGTCCCATCAGAAGATGTAGGTCATGGACTTAAAACTACTCTGCATTCCAGTTAAGATTGGATGAAACCCACCTGAGAACCTTTGCTAGACTTTGTCAAATTTTGTGGCAGTGGGAGAGCTTAGATTTCCTCAAAAGTCATTCACACATGCTCTCTAGGAAAGGACCTCCAAACTTAGCTCAAGTGTCATTTTCCGTGCAGAATTTAAAATCCTACCATGGCTTCCCCGTCATGAGCTTCAAATTGATCTTGAATTTTGCATACTCAACTCCCAGGTTCAATGTCTGGCTTCTCCTCCAGAGTTACTGCCAGTCAGTGTCAGCTATACTGAACTAGATGGAGCACTGGTCTGACAGCATCAGGCAGCTTCCTATGTCTCTATGTCTGCTTTAGGCAGACTTGGTGTGGCAAAAGCCAATCTTTGGTTCTAAAGGCAAGAGCATAAGGAGCCCTCTTCCAAAGACAACATCCATAGAGAAAACGTTTGGTGGCATTATCACTGAAATATACTCGGAGTCGAGAGGGGATTTCATGCTCTTTATTCAGCTCATAGTGGTGAGGAGGAATGGAAGTTCCACCAGAATGTCTGCTTTATATACATTACTTACACAATGGGCCCCATGTGATTGGCTAATTCCAGGATTCTCCTGTAGGCCAATCAGGTTGCAGATTCACTTCCACCTGGAGCTGGATTGGGTGGCTCCTGTGGCCAATCGGACTGCTGCATTCTGGATCCTACTGTTCTAGGACCAATCAGATTGCTGCATTCTGAATTCTATTGTTCTAGGACCATTCAGACTGCTGCATTCTGAATCCTATTGTTCTAGGACCAATCAGACTGCTGCCTTTTGGATCCTATTCAACTCAGTACATAACAATCACATTTTCACTGTCCTCTCTGCCAGCCTTCCCCAACTTGGTCCTTTCTAAATGTTGCCGGACTCCAATTCCTACCACCCCACACTACTGTTGGCCATCCTAGCTGGTCCAATGACATCGTGGGGTGGGCAGCAGGTTGGAAAAGGCTGAACAATAAAACAAAACTTGGTGGGGGTGTTTCTAGGGTTTTCTGCACACGAAATATTGATGAGGAGCTGGAAAAGAACTCTTAGAAACAGGTGGGTGCTTTGATTTTCTTGGCCTCCACACTTCCCTCCCCCCCCCCCGGGAAAGCTAATAAAAACTGAATTGATTCAAAATAGGAGGGAAGAGAATGTGCCCATGTCAGTTTACCCTGTGTACCCACTGGTCACCTTGCAATCCCAGTTTCATGTGGCACTGAGCCTGGTTTTTAGGCACAGCCTTCTCCGTTCAGAATAGGCCCCCGACCCTTAGTGGAGCATTTTGGGGGGAGTTGAGGGAGGCTGCTGTAGGGACTGGGAAGTCAGTCTCCCAGAGCTCTCTATGGCCTCATCCGCCCTTGACATTGAAAGAGGTGTCTTACCACTTTAAACAGACATGGCTTCTCCCAAAGGAGTCTGGGAATTGCGGTTTGTTAGGGAACCCCTATCCACAGAGCTACCATTCTGAGTGGTGTAACAGGTAACTCCACTTTCCAGGGAATTCTAGCTAGGTGAGCTAGAAAGGGGACTCCCTAACAACTTTCAGCATCCTTAAACGGACTACAGTTCCCAAGGTTCTCAGTTCTTTGGGCAAAACCATGTCTGCTTAAAGTGGTATGATACTGGTTTAAATGCACAGTGCAGATGGCGCCTTAGGTGTGCTTATCTCTGGATGCAGTCTACTGAATCAGGACAGAACGGGAGCCCATTGACTTGCCAGGGAATGACAAGAGGTCAGCTCATGTAGATAGCCAGAAGGATGGATGGGGGAGATAGGCTGGTCCTTCATCTATAGCTCCATCCAGACTCCATCTGTGTATATGGAGCTCCTGCTAAGCACAGCAGTCTTCTTGATTAATCCACTTTGCTGGAAGGGGTATTTCAAACATGTTGTTGTTGTTTAGTCGTTTAGTTGTGTCCGACTCTTTGTGACCCCATGGACCAGAGCACGCCACACACTCCTGTCTTCCACTGCCTCCTGCAGTTTGGTCAAACTCATGCTGGTAGCTTTGAGAACACTATCCAACCATCTTATTCTCTGTCATCCCCTTCTCCTTGTGCCCTCAATCTATCCCAACATCAGGGTCTTTTCCAGGGAGTCTTCTCTTCTCATGAGGTGGCCAAAGTATTGGAGCCTCAGCTTCACGATCTGTCCTTCCAGTGAACACTCAGGGCTGATTTCCTTAAGAATGGAGAGGTTTGATCTTCTTGCAGTCCATGGGACTCTCAAGAGTCTCGTCCAGCACCATAATTCAAAAGCATCAATTCTTCGGCGATCAGCCTTCTTTATGGTCCAGCTCTCACTTCCATACATCACTACTGGGAGAACCATAGCTTTAACTATACGGACCTTTGTTGGCAAGGTGATGTCTCTGCTTTTTAAGATGCTTTTTAAGATTTCCAACATACCTCCCCCCATTTGCAAGTGCCCAGCTGCCCCTTGTATTGATACAGATAAGTCAAACCTTGTGCATGGAAAAGGGAGTTTAGCATGGGCCCTGGAGTCTCTTCACCTATGAGAAATCAGCAGCAGCAGCAGCAATATTTACTGTATTAGTCATTCAAATATGGGGAAAAGAATAGTTTCAATGCAACTTAGCAACAAAATAAAACCATTTTAAAAGTTTAAAAAGACATGCATAGCTCAGTTGGTTGGAGTGTGATGCTGACAGTGCCAAGGTTGCGGGTTCAATCCCCGTAAGGGACAGCTGCATATTCCCGCATTGCAGAGGGTTGGACCAGCCGATCCTCAGGGTCCCTTCCAACTCTTTGACTCTATGAGTTAAAATACCAAAAATGCTGATTCAGCAATACAATGAGAAGGAGAAGCCCTGCCCCTCCCCATTAAAAGACGAGCGCCACAGCCTATGTTGACTAAACCACCAGAGTAATATAAAATCTCCGCCTGGCACCTAAACACAGTGATGGCACCAGGCATGTTTCCCCTGGGAAGAGCAGATCATGCACGTGGGGGAACCAGCCTGCTCTCGTCCAGCTACCCTGCACACTTTAATTTCGGCCAAATTAAGACTGAATTAAGGGTCCGATCTCATTCCCAATGCATCCAGGACCGGCTTCCTTCTGAGACGACACGTGTAGTATTGTGTCAACTGATAAGGCTGCAATCCTGAGTCCATTTACCTAAGCCCCATTGGATGCAGCGGGACCTACTTCCGAGTAGACATGGATAGGCTTGTTCTGTAAGATAACAGAGCTAGGAAATTAACCTGGATAATTCCAGACATAATTTGGTATTTATTTATTTATTGTTAAGTCATGATCTGATCCTGACATTTGGGTTTCCCCTGTTTTTCTCAGTGGTGAACATCTGAAGGGCAGACATGGAACATAGAAGCCTGCTTTACACCAGGTCAGGCTTTTTGTCCAACTAGCCTGCCATTCTCTATTCTGACTTGTGGCGGCTGCTCAGCATCTTGAGGCAGAGAGAATTCCTTTCCCATGCCCTGCCACCTACCACGGGTGGAGCTTGGTTTATTAGGGCAAATTGGGCCCTGCCCTGCCAATCTCAGCCTGTCCTAACCTGTGTTGCCTTCTTCCTTACAACCAGTCAAGGAATGGCACTGCCTGCCAGCTTCTTCCTGCTTAGCCCCAGTCTTGCCTCTTGTAGAACTCCACAGGGAATCAGTTGGCTCTGCCTGCCATTGGCTCTGGCGCCACCTACTGTTGACCTCCCTGCTTTCCATCCCACCAGTCCTAGTGGACAAGGCAAGCAAAGATCAAAGTAGGTGTCTCTCCCACCGAGCTCTGACCCCTCCCCACGTGGCACACGTTGCACAGTTAAAAATATCGCACAAGTTAGAAATTCAGCCGCTTTGCAGAATTTCCGAATGCCCCCCCCCCCCCAAAAAATCTTGGTTTGGGGATTAGGTCACAAAGATCTTTTAAAAGAAAACCACCGCTGCAACTCGGCTCTTGGCGATTCATTTTAGAGCAATCAACTTGCTACAGTCAATAAATGTCTTGCTTTTCTTCTTCTTCTAAAACTCCCAAATCCAGCAGTATCCCTAATTGAAAATGCTTTGTGGTAAGAGGTTTTATTTTGGGGTGGGCAGCGGCGGCAGAGTAGGTAGGAGATGAATTAGGAGAATATAAATGAGAATTTTTTGCAAATAACTGTGAGCTTCGAGAAATAACTCTCTTGCAAACCTATTTTGGCGTCGAAGCGCTGCGATAATTTGGGCCCAGAAACTCCCACTGAACCTAATGTCAGGGACGAAGTGAGTTAGCCATGAGTGAAAATATCAAACACTGTGTGTGTGTGTGTGTGTGTGAGAGAGAGAGAGAGAGAGAGAGAGAAGAAATGGCCCCAAATTTCTTTTACACAGCCTTCTAAGACATGGGGTGTGTGTGTGTGTGTGTGTGTGTGTGTGTGTGGAATTGTAAGGTTGGAACGAGCAGGGGTGGGTGGTTGATCTGGGAAGGGGGGAAAAATCTGTCCCACATTGTTAGGTTAAAATGCATCCCTTCCCTCTTGTAAAAGAGTTCTGCTTTTGACATCCACCTCACGGCTCAGCCCTCTGTCCAGCATTTATCCTCCCAGCTCCCCTTTTATTCTGCGCTGCCTCTGGCTGCTGGGGTCCGTTTTGATATCTCCGCTAACTTCCCTTCTCTCACCTAGTGCCAGGGGGTATGTTTGTGCAGGGCCCTCTAGGAGATATAAGTTGCTATCGATTATTTTTAATATTTAGCATGTTTGTGAACATGCCTTAGCCCCCTCTCCAGCCCACCCTATTAATCTACTATGTTAATAGCGCCAAGACTCCTGCTCTGGACCCCGGGGAACCGCAAGTGAGGAGAATGACAATGAGGCAATGACAACAGAAGCGATGCCTGCGCTTGGCAGGGATGCGAATTCCCAATGCAAGCTCTCTTTGGGGAGAGTTTCAAATTCTTTATTCTTCTCTCTTTTTTCCTGGAGTTTTGAGGCCAGGATTCAAAGGCATACTTTACACTATCTGCCATTTTGCTTTCTTTCTTCTTCCTTTCTTTGGAAGGCCAAAGGGGAGACAAATCTAATTTGCTCAGCATCTTTCATCTAATATTTCAAAAGCCTTCACATTCCATCCCTTTGGGAATATTTTCCAAATTTTAGCTAGGTTGCATCTTTTCTCTCCCCCCCCCCACTTTCCCGGCTCCACCCCCCCCCCGCCCTGTTTCTTTCTCTTTTCTTTCCCGTTTCTATTATTTTCGTACATTTCCACCTGAAAGAACTTCTCGCTGAACTGGAAACTTTGTCCATGCTTTTATCAAAGCTGACATGGCAGCGTTTCCAAAGAAAATAGCATGATTTCTCTGTGTCTTTTCTTCCTCTTCGTCTTCATATGTGTATGCTCACCCACCCACCCACCCCCAGTGCGTTTTCTGAAACTTTTTTGTGCTTCCTCCCAATTGCTAATGAACGTTTCTATGAGAAAGCTCCAGAATTTATTACGTAGCATCCATTTTCATCATGGTGTAAGGGTTGAATGAGGGTGAGTTCCCACTTCAAACATCTCTCTCTGCTTATCTGTCTTCAGATACTGTTCAGAAGTCAGTCTTTTTGACAGTCCACTAGTGGCCCTTTGCTAGCCAGGCTATGTGTATCGTATGTCTGTGTATTGTTTGTGGGATGGTGAAATCGCACAATTTTTTAGTGTCTCATATCTCTAATCTTAAGTTCTCTACATTTCCACATCAGTTTGTAGTTGTTGTTGTTTTGTTGTTGTTTTTATTATGAAAATTCATCAGCATTTTAGTGCGAATCCCTCCTGATAGCTACATTTTCGCAAAATAATCTCCCCTAACATAATGCATTTTTGGTATGTTACTTTCAAGAATACATGCCTTGTTATGCAAGCTATACCCTGATATATGCATTTTTTTTGTACACAACATTTGGTTGGACAATTGCATAGCAGAATTCAGAAAAGTGTGAATTTTGAAGGATCGTTGTGTTTTAGTTCAAGTATTGTGTTGGAAAGCATGAATTAGGTAGGTTCATCTACCTTTCAACTTTGTTCCCTATTGTGGGCATCTATATCTGCGAATCAACTTTGTTCCCCATTGTGGGCATCTATATCTGCCAATATATCCTGGCAGATATCCCTGTAGCAATATTAACAAATACAGTAACATAGTTTTATATTTTCCTTCCTCAAAAAGAAGCAGGAGAAGGCATTCAGTCTTTAAAAGAAGGTGATATTCGGGGGGGGGGGATTTCCCCTACATTTATTTCAGACCTGCAATCTAGACCTGAGCTGCAATTTCCCAGGAAAAGAATTTTCTGGGGAACATCTCTAGACTTTCTCTGAACTAGCAACATTTTTTTCTTTCCATATGATCTGAGCTGAAATTTCTCAGAAGGGAGTTTTCTGACAGTTTTGTTTTGACACATATAATCCATGACGCTGCTTGAATTTATATAGGTATTATAATTCAATTTTCATTTTTGAAAAATCTGGTGAGGAGAAATTATAATATGCACTGCATCCGACTGTTCAACCTCCTTGCATGCAGTATTTGAACAGAAGAAGAGCCATGGGGCTGGATCAGGCCAAAGGCACATCAAGTTCAGCATTCTCAAAGTAGCCACCCAGATGCCTCTGCTGAGAACAGGGATGGATTAATCTGCCAATTTTGGTTCCTCTCCGTTTCTCATTTTCCCAGTCATTTATTTTTTATTTCAGGCATTTATATACTGCTTAACACCCAAATTTTCTAAGCAGTGTTATATTCAAATCTATACGTTTCCACATCAAAATTGCAATATTTTTAAAAAAGGAATCCTCCTGAAAATTCACCAGCATTTTAGTACACAACATACAAATTTGCTTTTGCAAAGGAATTTTCTCTAATGCAATGCATTTTTTCGACATGTCGTTTTCATTAATATATGCATTTACATGCACACTAGGATATTCATCACACACACCCCTTGAAGTCCAGATTTCGATGGATAGCTGTGTTTTTGGTTTACACCGTTATTTCAGGAAGCACGAATTAAGTAGGTTTGCCTTTAAATGTGGCAGGAAATGAAGTTTCCCCCCATCCCTGGTTAGGAAGCCCATGAGTAGGACTTGAGTGCAACAGCAGCTGATCTTCAGAGGCATCTTGAGCATTACGGTGTCCAGGCGGGAAACTGGACAGGACTCCTGTGCCTGTAATAATTGTGCCAAACAGAAACTTTATAGCAGGATGACAGGACATCCTACCTACAGCAGCCATTTAGGCTGCCATTCTTGCCCTCATAAAGCAATTAGGGAAGGGGGGGGCTGAAGTGGAAAGACGATGGATTACCCACTGCTTAGGACACTTCTCATGTAACTCCATGCACGTGGTGATCTAGAAGAAAGTTCTCCTGAGTCTGAATGCATTTACTCCCATGTAAGTACGCAGAGAACGGTGGCCTTGCAGTGCAGTCCTCTGCATGTCTGCTTGGAAGTCAGTCCCATTGAACACAGGGAGGTTTACTTCCAGGAAAGTAATAATAATAATAATAATAATAATAATAATAATAATAATAATAATTTATTTGTACCCCGCCCATCTGGCTGGGCCTCCCCAGCCACTCTGGGCGGCTTCCAACAAAGATTAAAAATACATTAAAATGTCACACCTTAAAAACTTCCCTGAGGTCCAAGAATAAAAATGCAAATTGATCTTTTAATAATCTCAGAGCCCTCAAAAAAATTGCTCTGTACTCAAAGCATCCAA